TCTCATTTTGACCCATACCCATTAGTCATTAACCTACTGTAGCATCAGAATCGTCCAGCACGCAGAAGCCAACCTTGGACTAAAGCTGAACCAAGCTCAAAAACACCGTCAAAAACTTCCGGCGTTATGCGCATAACCCTGGTCGGCCTCTGCTGCGAACTGAACACGACTCGTGGCATGAGGGCCATGGCCCTCATGGGCTAAGGGTTGTCTCCATTCCAGGGGCTAGATACCCGCCGGGAGGAGACCCAGCTCATCAGTGGCCGGGGCCCCTGCGAAATTGCTGGAAAATAACTCACACAATGCATTCACAACAAGCATCAAAACGCTATGTGAGGGCTCTGTGTCCAAAATCCACAGAATAGCACAAAAAACCATTTGCTTAACAAATGGCAGCTGGACTCTCAGAAAACTGTACAGAACCATGTAAGGCTCAGCTCACTACGCAACAGAGACCAGGGCGGCTCCCCAGGTTTTGCATCAACCACGGGTTTCTGAGCGCTTCTTCTGAACCACACCGAGCTTCTTCTAGAGATATCATCTGTTTGGCCAAGGAAAGTGCACCATAACCAAGTTTCGATGTCCATGTCTTTTCATTCAAAAGCTCCTCTGCGGCTTCTGTGCCTTTGGATCCTTTGATATCTTCCAGCGACGACCGAACATACTCCTTGCCCCGCACAAAAGCGATGAAGAGTACTCCAGTGCTGTAGACGTCACATTTCTCCGTGTATTTCCGTTGATCAATCTCAGGCGCTCTGTATGGCAGTGAGCCAACTCTCTCGGACATGTGATGGCCAGGGTCGAAGTCACAGGCAAGGTCGAAATTTGCCAATTTCCAGGTCCTTTTTGAAGACAGCAGCCTGAGTCATGGACTCTACTTCATTGTAAGACAACAACACGAGCATCCTCATCATCCTCATCATCCTCATCGCTCACATACCCGCTTTTACAAACCAGGAAAAAGAAACTCTGAAACTATCCAACGATGCTTCGAGCGGTTTAGAGATTTTTGGTGTCAAGTTGGTAAACAACATCTAGAATCCAAGCCAAGATGCACATTGCACGGCTTGATGTTCCTATGTGCGACCTGAGGGATCTCTAATTCAACTTTTCCCAAACGAACCATTGCAACCAGATTTATGATCTCAACGTATTTGAGTGCATTTGACTTGCACTCTAAATTGAAGATAATTGAAGCAACATCATTATAGGTTACCTATGATTTGACTGAAGCTACCAGCTGCTTCATACCATTGAATCTTCATGGTTTTTACATACTTTTACCAGGCCTGTATGAGTATATACATACCCCAGTCAGTCTCTGCCGTCATGCAAAATCAGGAACGATTGCATTTCCTGGATCAAAAAAAACCTTCAGCACACTGCACAATTTATCGCAATGCAAGTGTCAAAAGACACGTTCAACATTTTCCTGGATCCAACAGTTCAACACCATGATTGTTACAATGCCCATGAAAACACCCGGATATTCATTGATATTTGACAATATTCAACCTTTCCAAAAGCAGTGGGAATATGTGGGAATTTGTCAGTGTTTCTAGCCTGGTTCTCATGGAGGAAATTCACAGCCATCAACAGCTGGGACAGAGTCTTTGCCACCTCTGTCCGACTGGGCGTGCGATAGCCCGAAGTGCCCGAAGTGTCGCGTTGGGAACCAATGCAGTCTGCCATAGTCCCCGAGCACAGCTCCAGCATAATGTCCATGACCCCGGCTGCCCAGTAGACGTCATAGATGCGCAAAATGTTGTTGTGCTTCACTCGACGTAGAAGCTGAATTTGCAAATCACAACGGGGATCCTTGTCCAGCTGAACCTGCTTCCAGGCGAAATGTTTTCTTGTTCCCTTCTGCTGCACTTCCTTGACTTCAGTGAACCTACCCTTGCCAAGTGTCTTTATGACTGTGTAGCCCTCCTCAACCTCCTTTGAGCAAGCTGTAGAATCGGAGTCTGGGCTTCCAATAGGCATTGGGGTGTAGAATATTGGCCGATGGCAAGGGTTCTCAACCGCGTCAAACATCTTTGAGCAAAAAACGTCAGCGACGGAAATTTTGGGATCCCTTTTGAACTACAAATGATCTACATGGTGTCGAAATGTGTCGAAGAGTCCTATTGCACCGGAAAAATGAGATCATCCCACAGCGCACCTGATCCCCAAAGAGGTCACCTTGTGGCGCAATGGGATCAAGTCGGGATCATGCCGTGATGGGGAGGACCTGTTGGAAAAACATGGAACATGTTGAAGAAACTTCACATGACATATTGATACAAGTAAACAATACCCATCAAGAACAACTTGACATATGATTTGAAATGATTCTAAAACGGCAAACACATGATATCTCGATGAGCCAGTGCCATTCTAATCACTGAAGTATGTTCGTAAATCTGCAGGTCCCCAAAAACGCGGCACATCAAGAAAACACGTTGACAAAACTACCCAGACATGTTCGATAAAACACCAGGTCGTGGAACAGGATCCATTGCTGAGATTGTTGGACCGACAATTTATAGATGTTGCATTCATCATGGTTTATCTTACGCACTGGTGTACCGGTTTAAGTACCCTTAAATCAACTGGCTATACATCATTTACGCATCATTTCCGTCTCAAATTCATATTAGATGATATTAGATGGCCAATTCCAGGGATAATTCATGGGACCGTTACTATTGGAATACTGTTGGAAGCACGTCAGCACCGTCCACCAGGTCATCCCATGGATTTCCTGCGAGTGGCGCAACCAAAGTGCAAGCGCACTACCACCCATGCCGGCGCCCAGGATAGCCACCTGCCGTCGGCAAAAAGGTCAAGCCTACAATGGGCGTAAATTGTTGGCAAAAACTCTTGAGATTCAATGGACATATGCTACCAGCTGCTACCATTTTGACCCATTTTGTTTTGCTGTTTCATAGAAAAGACTCAATCTGAGGCAAAATCCTACTGCACGTATGTCCTATGTCATTCTTGAAACCCTCATGGTGGGTCATGGTTGGTCATAGTGGACGCCGTGCCTTCAACCGCCGGTTGGAACGCAGTGCTTCAGCGCGCTTCACATGTCCGTCTCCACGGCCCAACAACTCCCTGACAGCATCATGCTTGAAAAACCGAAGTACAGGACACCAACCAACCACACTGCGCACAATGACACTAGCAACATTAGCAACAAAGGATTGCGATCGTTTCAGCTTGCCTCAAATCTGGGTTCAAAATCCTGTAAATGTATTGAAATTGAAATCATAGTACACCACTCTCAGTCTCCTGTTGTCATGGTTTCCACCCTCCCTCAACTGGCTATTAAGTCAATGATCCCATACTTGAGTCACTGGCCTGATCAATGCGACCACTGATTCGTTGTAAAGGGCCAGCACAGAGACAGAGACCAGGAGAGCCAGGCTGAGAGCGGGAAACGTCGGGGAACGTGTCGGGCAAACGAACGACTACTGTGAAAGAGATGAATAGTACAACAAAATCGGAATCGTAAGTATTAATATTAATCCATAATCCAACATTCCATGTTTCAAGGGCCATTTCAGGTACCTAAACTGGAGGTACTGTACTATACAAAACCATATTTTGGGGGTATATCCCGTTACGTAGCCCTTATATAAACATCGGATATATATATATGGTAATTAGATGTAATTAGGTACCTAAAATTTAAGTTCCTGAAATGGTCACTAAACGTTGACCAAATATGATGTAGGCTACAAGTGTGCACAAGGATCAAAAGGATTATTGATTCTCTGAAGTACAGTATCTATGAATATGCGTAATTAGTATCTATGAATATGCGTAGATAGTATCAAAATGTTCAAATACTATGTTATGGTGGCTACGAAGGTTGTAGACCAGACCAGTTTTCCCCGTAGCCAGGCCTGTCTGCCCGCCACAAGCGAGCCCAAGCTTTCATCGCCGCCGGCAACGTCAACGGCTGCTGCAACCAAAGGATGCTGTAGTATGCGTATGCTCTTTGGTGCGAGTTGTCTTGGTGTGGAATTTCGATGGATTTCCCCAAAACAACAGCTTGGACGAGCAGCACTGTGTGTCCAAAACCTGCTATCTAGCATCTGTTTTTAGCGTCGCGAACTCTCCAACACAAAATGCGAACTCTCCAACACAAAATATGACGTAGGTTCCAAACTGCGAAACAATTGCTAGTCTATGCACTTTCTTTCCTCGTGTCCAAAGTCCCGCATGATTGATTGGCCAGTTTCATAATTTGCTTGCCTCTAATAAAACATGCTGCAGATTCAGTGCAAGAAAATAAACATGGAGAAAAACTGAAATCCATGCAATTTCTGCGCCGCCCTGCCCCCCCCCCCACAGGACGAAACTGCAAAAAAGGCAATTTCCTTACAGCTGAGATTCATTTCTTTTTATTTGAGATTCGGGGGTGTATCACGTTGCATCGGTAAAGGGCCAACAATTTGCCAAGAGTGAGTCATACTCATGCTCATCTCATGCGGATTGTACCCTTGTTCCAACCTAGTGCTCTGAATCGCTCAAACCATGGACTTTTTAATGCTTTTCTCAACTTAATAAAATTACGATTCTGTCTTTTTTGAAAGAAAAAAGGGTATACTGGAATGGGGGCAGCGTTCAGTGACTCAAGTCTTGCTACGGTAAAGCATCTATATATTTGAATCTATTTCCATTACCCGACTTGGAGCCTAAAATATCTAGGCCCGTTGGAATTGAATTGCCAAAATGGAATTCCTGAAATATATTGAAATATACTAAAGCACCATAGGGGGATCCCGGATTTCATGTTTTTTTACACGACGGTTGGGGGAAGTTCAGTTCACATCTTCACATCTTCACATCTGCACACATCTTCTCTCTCTTTCTCTGTTCTTCACATCTTCTCATCTTCACATCTTCTCTCTCTCTCTCTCTCTCTCTCCCTCTCTCTTGCCCTCTGTCACGGTCTCTCTCCTTCTTTTTCTTTTCTCTCTTGGGGAGGTTGGGTCGTGAGTTCCCAAAGTATCACTCTGCATCCCAAAGTATCAAAAGATTGGACCCCCAAAAAACGAATTTCTCCCAAAATCCAAAATCCATCCAAATCATTAGACATTTTGGGTTCCTTGATGGGGTGCCTTTCCAAGACAATTGTTTCACCAAAAACATCACGTAGAAAGTTGCAAGTTTGGGCTTCTTCCAAGACGACGCTTTAATATTTTTGGGAATTTTAGTTACATTTTCACGCTGATTGGCCAGCAAAGAAAAGGGCCTATAATTCTTCTGTGGAACTCTCCTTCCTAGAATCCGGGGACCATAATCACCGGAACCCTGCCAAAGGCCCTTACAGGTCCTGCCATTCAATGAAGGAATGAACAACTCATCATAATCAAACTTGTGCAAAGGTTAGTTGATTGTAAGATATTGATATTGTCTTGTAAAAGTTTGGGTTTCTAGAGACAAATTCAGTAAACTCAGTCATTGAACAACCGCCTGCGACCCAATTTTGGGGTCCTTAAAACTGGAGGATGATTCAATGTCGAATCTCAAATGTAAAGAAATGAATCTCATTTGCAATGACATTGCCTGAAAAGAGAAAACCCAAAGAACAGAATCTATTTTGGGTTGACGACAATGGGGGCCTACAATTTTCCACAGGCATCAATCCATGTGGCCTTATGTTTGCACTGTTACATTTTTCCTGGTTTCGATGGTAAATCATCTTGCTTTGCAAGTGCTTTCCTATCGTGACGCATTCCAGCCCAGGTCTGGGTCTTTGAATTCAGCAGGCTATGTCCTACGATTCATGATTTATATTTGGGATAGTCGGTGAATGTCTGCGAAATGTGAAATCTGACCATGTGTGACTGTTGACATCTATTGACATCTATTGATTATTCCACTTTATTCCACTGTCATCATGTTTCAACACTGCCTGCTTGCCTCAGCGGCAAGATTCTTCGCTTCGTCGGCCAAAAAAAAATCCGAGGTCCGAGTTGGTGCAACTGTTGCAGCTTCAACTCGCTGGTGCGCTGATTCACAATATTTCACGCTTGATGACAGGAGGGCCAACAGAAACTGAAGGCTTAAACTATTTCAAAACCAAACAACATTCAACTGCAATCATTTGCTTTCTTGCTTACATGTTCGGATATGTCTGGTAATTCTTGATCCGATCATATCCGATCCCAAAATCTGAACATTCAACCAATTTGGATGAATTTGGATGAATCTGGAAAGCATGTGGAAGCGCTGCTGTTATGGTTCGCAACGAATATGATTCAATTCTATCTGATGTATGGCTAGTACAGCATCTTGAAAGTGAAAAGTGTTGATAGAATTTATATCATGTCTCGCGCACACGGGTGGACTTGACTCCACTGCCTCTTAGCCACTGTGCGTCCACCATTCGGTGGGAGGTGCAAACTCCGGGCAAATCTTAGTGTTGTTGTTCCGCCTTGGCTGATCTCTGTCATCTATGTTTCTGATTTGGCCTTGTATAGCAAATTGTAGCGATTGTAGCATGGTTTACCCTACGAGTACACATATAGAACCTATAGATAAGTATGGGGTTGGTGATCAGCTGAATCAGCTGACAATATTATAACAATAGAATTGACCATATTGACAACTTTCATGCAAGTCTTGCCAGTGCTGATGCCTGATCTAGCTGCTGTGCTAGTCAAACAGATGCCCCCTTCGCCTGCTACCCTTCAGCAAAAAAAAGACACTACGAGATTGAGCCGCTATGTTCAACTGGCTCCATCTTCGCATTCAGTCTGACACTCAAACCACCATCCACCTCAAAGCTGCTTCAACAGGACAAAACCACAACTTGAACAGAACAAAACATCCCAATTCAAATGCTCGGCTGTGATCAAGAGAGATCTGAAGGATCCCTGATGTTTTGCCTGACAAAAATAGAGGTGACGCTCTGCTCTGCTCCTGTAGTTTGGGTCCAAGACGTCACACACAGTGCAGCGGTGGCAGAGTTGTCGGAATCTTGCTCACATCAAGGCCCAACTGGATAATCTTCCTGGCATTCTTCCTTAGAAGGGGAATGGATAGACAATGAGCATTGTATGCAAAGCAAGCCCGAGTCTCCACAAGTCTCCGAGTCCCCGTCCTCAGTATATATATTTTTTTCATACTTTGCTATATTTTTGATCAATTTTCTAAGCTATTCCGACCTCGCATCCATCCACTTCCCATCACTTCCCCTTCCCTGCGACTTGCTGCACACTTGATTTATGTCCCTGAGCAAATCGAGGCACATCTTTGACCGGGGTATCATCACTTGTGGGCCTCAGTGCCAGCTAGAGGAACCGGTGCCATGGCCAATCCGGAACCCCAATCTTTGGAAGAGACCACCATTCTATGCATTTATATTGGCACGTATTGACACCAAAAAATCTAAGGCTTCTGTCGGCAACTTGTATATATAAATATATATATATATACATATCATAAGACACTTTCCTGTCAAGGAAGTTACCTTACCTCCGCACTCTTGTTGATAAGGCTCAAACTTCAAGGGCAACTGCCGCTTGAATGAGTCCAAACGTGGTACTATGACTCGGTCCTCTCATAATATGAAGCATGTGACCCCCTCATACTGCGAGCACTTTTCAAACATTACCTGATTCATGCCTTCAGACTTGATCGTCTTGATCCTCCATATCATCCAGCCTGTAAAGCTCTTTTCAACAAGCGAGATCAGTCCAGAGGATTATGATGAATCCTGATTAGGTTGCTTTTTGAAATGTCATTGCTCCACTACTGTGACCTGGTCTATGACATACATTGACATATTACTTTTCTAGGTCTGAGTGGGGAAACCTCCTATATACACGTTGGAAAAGCAGGTGTGCATTGTCAACCGAAGCGTGGACAAAATTAAGATTAGTCCAGCCAACAACAAGCATTCGCAAGGTGACATTTGTTGTTTTAATCAGTAAACACGCATGTGTTTACACGTTTGCAGCATTAACGTTTGCAGCAAAAGCACACGTGACCCTTTCACGAAAACAAACCTCCCTCATGCCTCTGAGGCCACAGATCGTAATATATTGTAACAACCCGTAGAAAGATGTATCCAAAGAGACATCAATGAATGCCGTCTATTGATAATTCCATAATATTCCATATATTTCCCAAGGGGAAGAGCACATCTAGTCAAGCCATGTCAATTCCGTGCTGGCTATTCTCCGGCCAGCAACTTGCCATCTTGACAGTCGCAAACGACTCGTCATTCCCTGCTCCGATCGCCGGCAGAAATCGTGGGGTTGGCAGATTTTTGCTGCGATGCTCTTGGAGCAAATTCAATGCATGGTGCCTCAGTGCATCATCTCGTGGCACTTGCGCTCAATCCGAGCACGGTTTCTATCGGTTTCTTTCCTTCGCAGCTCTGTAGTTGGAGCTTATCACAGTATCTAATGACAAGCAACATCAATGCAACCAAAAGTGTAGATAGAGAGTGGTCAAGTGTGCAGTAAGCAGTACTTAAGTATACTATAGTATACTTAAGTAGTACAGCATCAGGCTGGTGAAGTGAACAGCCATGCTCTATGGCGAGATCAGACCTTTCTGCAGTTGAAAGGCATCAGCTGCTGGCTGCTTTCTTGCGACAATGCCACATCCATGCCACATCGATTGAAGTCAGCAAGCGCCTGGAGATACGTTCAGCCACTCATAGAGCCCAGTGACCCAAACGTGCGGATCCAAACACACGACACATAGGACATATCATCATAAAATTGTGAACGCAAGAAACTTGTTCGCCTATATTTTTAAAGAAGGTCTGCAGGGCGACAAACAAAAAACAAAGAAAACACATCAAGAGACTATAAACATGGAACAAGCCGAGAAAGCTTGTCCATTCCGATTCAAACATGCAGGAATGGAAACGATGTGGGCAAACATGGTAAGTTACGGTAAGTTGGCAAATATCAGTCCTGCAGCACTTTTGCCACGCGCAGTATCCGGCTGACTTGAGGTTTTCCCTTCAACAAGGATACCAACGGTTTCAAAGCTCCTGCCAGGCCATTTGCATGTGGTTTCAAAAACACAAGAAAAGCCACTGGTGCTGAACCAATCGAATAACAATGAATAACACACGCATAGATACAAAGAATGAAACAGAACAGATCAAGAAATGCCTACATCTAGAGACAGGTGGAAACATGAACACTCAAAGCCAGTGATAGGAGTAGAATGTCGAGCAACATGCTTTCTGGCTTTCTGTCACAACACGTTCCTTCAGCGCACGCCCAAGATAATTCCTGTTACACATTATAATATAACAGAAAGGGACGTTGTGGAGGCCCCATTTTTATGGTGTTTGGAAAAAGTCACTAAAAAGCATCTTTGGTCACTATATCATCAAATGCTCATTGTTTTAATGATCTTTGTAATATGTTTAATTGTTTGGCTTAGGTCATGAAGATCAACAAAAAAAGGTTATGTTTCATTCTATGTTTGCTTGTGCTAGTAAATGCCAGTATACAAACTTAGAAGAATTTCAAAATCAATTATAATTATACTTACATTTTCTAATAAATCTTAATTTTCAGCCATATCAGCCGTAACATTAATTCCAACATATTTTAGTACTGGATGAATGGCGCGGGTCCAAATCCTCTTTCCAAAATCGCGGTTCCAGTCTTCTCCGTCGAAGCCAGAATGCAAAGCGCTCGTGAAGCGTTGGAAGAACCTAGTTGGGTTGTGGTTGTGATCATGACCATGCAGCTTGCCTTTGATCCAAAGGATGAAAACAACTCCTGAAATGCCTTAGATTGCCTTAGGACATCCCAATCTCTCTGGTAGTCTTGGTATGCACTTCTGCGCATCCACAATGCAACTGTTTTTACCGACACTTTGTCGAATGCAGTCGCCGTGAGATGGCTACCGCCAAGACCCAGGCAATCATCATGATGAGAACCGAGCAAATCCTCGGCAAAACGCGGGTTCTGTGTGCCCTTTGCCCGGATTAACAACCACCATTGGTGGCGATCTCTGCAGTGCTGCTGTTTCTGCTGGTAAAAGTCTTTCAAAAGTACAGTTGCTGGAAATGGCAGCAAACGGCTTTTGCCCAGGCAGCTTGGACGTGTAGTGTGTAGAGCCTATAAAAATGTGAAAAGTGAATGAACACTCGGCCTGCACCAGTTGGCCAAGGTGCCAGCAAAGGCTCCAGGACTTCTGCTTCCAGTAGGTGCATGGAAATCTTCTTGAAGAGCCCTTGGCTCAGACTCACATCTACTGCCGAAAGCGGATTCCTCCTCAATATACAAATACACACCTTTTCACCATGCAAGACCTATAACAAGGTGCACGTCTGTGCAAACTCTAGCATAAGTTTAGTCTGAGTTGTGCAAACCATTTCGCACGACATCACACAACCATGCACACACACACACACTCATGCAAACACGCAGTCACACAAACACACTAAAGTTTCACTAAAGAGTCTTCCTTGCAGGAGAAAATGAAATGTAAACCTCAATGGCCGTGGCACGTTTATCCGTTGCATTTGCCAGCTCACCAATGGCACTCGCAGCTGCAGCTTTGCAGTCGTAGGTGCCTTCCTTCAGCAAACCTCCGTTATCTACCAAGCCAACAGCATGAACTGCACTGTGTTGAAGTGATGCTCGTTCAAATCGTTCAAACATACATTGCTGTACTGTAGCTTTTCCTTGACCAAGCTGCGATTGAGTGGTTGGACCATCTCAGCTTCCTCGGCTGGGAGACCACATGGCTGCAAGGCACAGGTTGGAAGCACACTACGGCAAGCGAAACAGCCATAGGTCCCATAGGTGAAGCGCATGCCACGGAACCCCATATCGAACCCCAATATTGATAATATTGAATCTCATTACTACATTACTCCTTGCATCTCCTTGCCATTGTCCAAGTTGCTACTAAGACTTGGCGTCGGTCATCTGCAGTTGCAATGCGCGAAACTGCAAAAGCCGTCTGGAGACGCACCTTTGGAGACAAAAGGATAGAAATGATAGTGACAACACCAAGCCTGCCTGCGTTGAAATAATGAAAATAATGAAACACCGCCGGAGAGTCGGAGAGTCTTCCGGAATTTGGCCAAAGATGTTTCGCAGCAAGGTGGTCCTAAAGGATTCTAAAGGTATGTTATGGGCCAACGTCTTACCACAGTGTCAAAGACATGACGTCAGCCAGCGTGAGCAGGAAGTACCTCTGGTAATCACCATAATCACACGCGATCGGTTGCAACAATCTTGCTCTGTTTACCACTGGAGTTGTTCCCTGCTTTGCTGTTTGATGCACGCGTGAGAGGACTTCCGCTGATGGAACCAGTCCAATATTGTATGACAGTGGTGATGAATGAACATGTGCTAAGTAGTGGTTGTTGCTCCCAGAGGGGCTTGAGAAGGAAACCCCTTGCTTCCAATCCAAAGCCTGCCAGCTTTGCACCAAGGTACGTCATCGTTCTTATCTTGCAGAAGCTGACGAAGTCTGGTCAAAGAAGCCTCCATGAAGTTGTCTGCCACATCCTTTCAGATTCAATCGTCAAGATTCCAAGGGCACCCTGGTCGTTGCTTTAATCTGCAGTGCTAGGCCGTAGTGCTTCCCCTACTGCAGTGCATTATCTTGTGCAATCAGAACTGGCAGAAACGACAAATCCCAGAGTTTTCCAAGAATTCCGCGACGGTTATACATACACCGTCACCTAAAGACTGGCCTGATCTTCAGCTAGGAAGCCCATCAGCTGGATCTTAGCATGAGAAAATGGGTTCATTCATGTTCATTCACTCAAGGATTCTTATGAGCAGCCACTGGCAGACACGGGATGCATATGGATGTATATGGATGTATATAACTTGCCCCTCATCTCAATCCCTTATGCATCCTGTGTTGCCTGATGGCCACAATAATGCCTTTGCAAAATCCATTGCGTACACACGGCTGCTCCCAATACCCCAGACACAAGGAGGTAAAATGGGCAAATAGAAAGGTAACATGACTAATTTTCTCTCCTAGTGGCCATCATTCACCTATGGGTTGATGCCATTCTGGAGCGTTTGGAAAGTGGCACTTGCATCACTGGCCAAGCTACAGCATGCGAGAGGCTCTTTGGCGATGTGCTCTGAAGCAGAGCCATCAGCCACGAAACGATGCCTCCATCGTTCTAGACCACTTTGACAGGTGTATAATCGGTCTATACATGTACTATATTGAGCCATGTCCGAGGAAATAACCGAGCGCCAGATATGACCAAGAAGGAAAACATGGGACATCGGAAAGCCAGTGCTTGGCACCACATCAAGCCTGACATGTCACTGATATGACTTGACATGACCCAACAATCCGCTACAGACTAAACTCAGTGGCCTCCAGCGACCAACTCCTCACGCACCTCGACAAAGCAATCGCAGAAAGCACCCATCCAAAGACAAACACGAAATTATGACTCCCTCTCTCTCGCTCTCTCTGTATGTAATGTAATGCAGTGCAATGCAATGTGTTGTGATGTAATGTGATGTAATGTAATGCAATGTATGTATCTATGCAATGTTTTTATCTATGTCATGTATGTATCTATGTCATGTTTATCTATGTCATGTCATGTCATGTCATGTCATGTCATGTATGTATGTATCTATGTCATGTTTATCTATGTCATGTCATGTCATGTCATGTATCTATGTCATGTGTGTATCTATGTCATGTGTGTATCTATGTCATGTGTGTATCTATGTCATGCATTCATGTATTCATGTATGTATGTATGTATCTATCTATCCATCTATCTATCTATCTATCTATGTCATGTATGTATCTGTATCTATGTCATGTATGTATCTATGTCATGCATGCATGCATGCATGCATGCATGTCCGTATGTATATATGTATGTATGTACGTACGTACGTAGGTAGGTAGGTATGTATGAATGTATGAATGTATGTATGTATGTCATGTATGTCATGTATGTCATGTATGTCATGTATGTCATGTATGTCATGTATGTCATGTATGTATGTCATGTATGTATGTATGTATGTCATGTATGTATGTATGTATGTATGTATGTATGTATGTATTATAACCAGTGATGGCCTATTTGTGTGTGGCCACCCTGGGTATATAGGAACTATATGGGAAAATACAGGAACTATATGGGTAAATATTGGAACTCTAAACCAATATGTTGGAACTAACAGAAAAAAATGCAGGAACTTGAAAAGACTGGGTTGTGCTGAAAGAATTGCACTTAGGTTCAGCCTTTTAAGCTGGCACAAACATTTACAGAGATGTGGGCATTCATATCCCAGACCCCGGGATCATTGATGATGTTGGAATCGAAATCATAAAATCTTAAATAGCCGGCTTATGTTCTAAACTATAACTAGGTAGTTTTTTCAAAAGATATGATATAACGTATGTATATACCTGTATACACATTTAAAAATGTATTGTATACAACAAAAAAGGGTAAAAATTATATGTGTGTAACTATATATATATATACACATATTCTAATGCAAAATAAATAAATAAATAAATATATATATATAGATAAATATATATATATAGATAAATATATATATATTGATATATTTAGGCTAAAATAATGCAAGAATCCAGTTTTGCGGGAACGGTCGCGACGGTTCCCGACTGTAATCTTGAATGCAGCGTGGAACGGTTGCGACGGTTCCTACACTATATCTTTTTTGCAATTTCCAGGAACGGTTCCGAACGGTCGCAGACGGTTCCGGATTATATCCGTTTTTTAAGGGCTATAGCATGGAACGGTCGCGACGGTTTCCGACTGTAATCTTGAATATAGCATGGAACGGTCGCGACGGTTTCTGCCTTTTAGCACGGAACGGTCCTGACCCCTAAATCATATGTTTGTTTCTCGTTTTATCTATGATCCAAATATTTTTTCAGAACATGCTAGTTTCAAATTATCAGCTAAAAGCTACAAGTTGTAAGTTTTTTTCCCGAGAGCGTCTGAGCGCAGGGTTCTTCCAATAGTGGGGGTCTGTAAAACATCTTCTCATCTTCACATCTTCTCATCTTCACATCTTCTTATCCTCACATCTTCTCCTCATCCCTCATCTTCTCATCTTCTCATCTTCACATCTTCTCATCTTCACATCTTCTCATCTTCACATCTTCTCATCCTCACATCTTCTCCTCATCTTCTCATCTTCACATCTTCTCACATCTTCTCACATCTTCTCACATCTTCTCACACCATCACTCACATCTTCTCACACCTCCACTCACATCTTCTCACATCTTCTCACATCTTCTCACATCTTCTCACATCTTCTCACATCTTCTCACACCTCCACTCACATCTTCTCACACCTCCACTCACATCTTCTCTCACATCTTCTCACATCTTCTCACATCTTCTCACACCTCCACTCACATCTTCTCACACCTCCACTCACATCTTCTCACATCTTCTCACATCTTCTCACATCTTCTCACATCTTCTCACATCTTCTCACACCTCCACTCACATCTTCTCACATCTTCTCACATCTTCTCACACCTCCACTCACATCTTCTCACATCTTCTCACATCATCTCACATCTTCTCACATCTTCTCCTCTTGCCCTCTTGCCCTCTTGCTCTCTCCTTCTTTTCTATTTCTCTTCTGAAGGCGGGGGCAGGGCAGTGCAAACGAGACGGCACGAAACGCAACCCTTTCGCACGAAATGAAAGTCGATCGTCAAAAACTGAGGTAAAATTGCGATTTGACTTGTCCTGGAGCAACCCTTTCGCACGAAATGAGGGTCGATCGGCAAAAACTGAAGAAAAATTGCGATTTGACTTGTCCCGGAGCAACCCTTTCGCACGAAATGAGGGTCAATCGGCAAAAACTGAAGAAAATTGCGATTTTACTTGTCCTGGAGCAACCCTTTCACACGAAATGAGGGTCGATCGTCAAAAACTGAGGAAAAAGTGCGATTTTTCGATATTTTTCGTGTGCCGGAGCAACCCTTTCGCACGAAATGAGGGTCGATCGCCAAAAACTGAGGTAAAATTGCGATTTGACTTGTGCCGGAGCAACCCTTTCGCACGAAATGAGGGTCGATCGGCAAAAACTGAGGTAAAATTGCGATTTGACTTGTCCTGGAGCAACCCTTTCGCACGAAATGAGGGTTGATCGTCAAAAATTGAGGAAAAATTGCGATTTTTCGTGTGCCGGAGCAACCCTTTCGCACAAAATGAGGGTCGATCGCCAAAAACTGAGGAAAAAGTGCGATTTTTCGATATTTTTCGTGTGCCGGAGCAACCCTTTCGCACGAAATGAGAGTCGATCGCCAAAAACTGAGGAAAAAGTGCGATTTTTCGATATTTTTCGTGTGCCGGAGCAACCCTTTCGCACGAAATGAGGGTCGATCGGCAAAAACTAGGTGCGATTTTACTTGTGTCCTCGTGACTTGTCTGTGTGTAAAAGAGCCTGTGTGCCGTCTGTGTGTAAAAGCGTCTGTGTGTAAAAGTGTTTGTGTGTAAAAGTGCTTGTGTGTAAAAGCCTCTGTGTGTAAAAGCGTCTGTGTGTAAAAGCGTCTGTGTGTAAAAGCCTCTGTGTGTAAAAGTGTTTGTGTGTAAAAGCGTCTGTGTGTAAAAGCGTCTGTGTGTAAAAGCGTCTGTGTGTAAAAGCGTCTGTGTGTAAAAGCTTCTGTGTGTAAAAGCCTCTGTGTGTAAACGGGTCTGTGTGTCAAAGCGTTTGTGTGTAAAAGCGTCTGTGTGTAAAGGCGTCTGTGTGTAAAAGCGCTTGTGTGTAAAAGCGTCTGTGTGTAAAAGTCTCTGTGTGTAAAAGCGTCTGTGTGTAAAAGTGCCTGTGTGTAAAAAGCGTCTGTGTGTAAAAGCGTCTGTGTGTAAAAGCGTCTGTGCGTAAAGTAAAAGCGTCTGTGTGTAAAAGCGTCTGTGTGTAAAAGCCTCTGTGTGTAAAAGTGTTTGTGTGTCAAAGCGTCTGTGTGTAAAAGCGTCTGTGTGTAAAAGTGTCTGTGTGTAAAAGCGTCTGTGTGTAAAAGTCTCTGTGTGTAAAAGCGTCTGTGTGTAAAAGCGTCTGTGTGTCAAAGCGTTTGTGTGTAAAAGCGTCTGTGTGTAAAAGTGTTTGTGTAAAAGTGTTTGTGTGTAAAAGCGTCTGTGTGTAAAAGCTTCTGTGTGTAAAAGCGTCTGTGTGTGTAAAAGTCTCTGTGTGTAAAAGCGTCTGTGTGTAAAAGCGTCTGTGTGTAAAAGGGTCTGTGTGTAAATGTGTTTGTGTGTCAAAGCGTCTGTGTGTAAAAAGCGTCTGTGTGTAAAAAGCGTCTGTGTGTAAAAGCGTCTGTGTGTAAAAGCGTCTGTGTGTAAAAGTGTTTGTGTCAAAGTGTTTGTGTCAAAGTGTTTGTGTGTAAAAGCGTCTGTGTGTAAAAGCTTCTGTGTGTAAAAGCGTCTGTGTGTGTAAAAGTCTCTGTGTGTAAAAGTGTCTGTGTGTAAAAGCGTCTGTGTGTAAAAGCCTCTGTGTGTAAAAGTGTCTGTGTGTAAAAGTGTCTGTGTGTAAAAGCGTCTGTGTGTAAAAGTGTCTGTGTGTAAAAGCGTCTGTGTGTAAAAGCGTCTGTGTGTAAAATCGTCTGTGTGTAAAAGCGTCTGTGTGTAAAAGCGTCTGTGTGTAAAAGCGCCTGTGTAAAAGCCTCTGTGTGTGAAAATGTTGTGTGTAAAAGTGTCTGTGTGTAAAAGCGTCTGTGTGTAAAAGCCCCTGTGTGTAGAAAGCGTCTGTGTGTAAAAGCGTCTGTGTGTAAAAGGGTCTGTGTGTAAAAGCGTCTGTGTGTAAAAGCTTCTGTGTGTAAAAGCCCCTGTGTGTAAAAAGCGTCTGTGTGTAAAAGCGTCTGTGTGTAAAAGTGTCTGTGTGTAAAAGCGTCTGTGTGTAAAAGCTTCTGTGTGTAAAAGCGTCTGTGTGTGTAAAAGTCTCTGTGTGTAAAAAGCGTCTGTGTGTAAAAGCGTCTGTGTGTAAAAGCTTCTGTGTGTAAAAGCGTCTGTGTGTGTAAAAGTCTCTGTGTGTAAAAGCGTCTGTGTGTAAAAGCTTCTGTGTGTAAAAGCCTCTGTGTGTAAAAGGGTCTGTGTAAATGTGTTTGTGTGTCAAAGCGTCTGTGTGTAAAAAGCGTCTGTGTGTAAAAAGCGTCTGTGTGTAAAAGCGTCTGTGTGTAAAAGCGTCTGTGTGTAAAAGTGTTTGTGTTAAAGTGTTTGTGTGTAAAAGCGTCTGTGTGTAAAAGCTTCTGTGTGTAAAAGCGTCTGTGTGTGTAAAAGTCTCTGTGTTTAAAAGCGTCTGTGCGTAAAAGGGTCTGTGTGTAAATGTGTTTGTGTGTCAAAGCGTCTGTGTGTAAAAAGCGTCTGTGTGTAAAAGCGTCTGTGTGT